TTCAATGCCAAAAAAAAAGAATAGCTAAATCTTAAAAGTTAAAAAAAAAGTTAATAGGGGTAAAACAAAATAAAAACAAAAAACTACTACTAGAAATAGAAATCAATTTAGTCAACTAAAAAATTTATATATAAATTACTATATTTAGTTAATTTAATCGACTAAATCTTATAGCCGATTTTTATCCCTAACCACTACTATAACTATAACTAGTTCTTGACAAAAAATGAATAAAAACCCACAAAGATCTTGAAAGTTGAAGAAATAAAGAGCTAAAATATTAAAGCTTAAGCCCAAAAAAAAGAAAAAGCTATCTATCTGCTTTTTCAAGAAAGGGTAACCAAGAAAATGCTAAAAGAGTTTTTACTTAAGTTCATCAAAGAGAAAAACCCAAACCAATCAAAAATTTCAAGATAATATTGCACCATGTTTATCTTTTATAATTAGTATTTGAAAAGAAAAGAAACTCTAAATATCAAAAAAAGTAAAACTGAACAACCAATCAGAAAAAGAAAAGAACTAAACCCTATCTGTAAAAAGAGACTAGCAGCTAAGAACTGAAAAAGCTAGAACCAAAATGGGAATGAAATCAGCAAAAAAAAACAAAATCAGTATTATGTTCTTATGGGAATATATCTTTAGATTTGAGAACATTTAATATTATGTAAATGTTTTCTATAAAAAAAAAATCTAATATTTTTTAAATAAGAATAAATTTTTAAAAATATTAAATAAATGAGAACATAAATCTTAAAGCAGATTTCTAACACTGCTTGAAACTAACTGATAACACAAGACACTTGCCCAGGATCTCTTATAAAGATATACCAAAAGTAAAAAATTTGTGGCAGATTCTTTGTCTAACACCTTATAAGAAAGTTCAAACAACAGAAGGGTCTAACGTAATCCTACTAAAGAAAGTCTAACAATTCTAAAAAGTTTCAAAGAGTGAAAAGTCAAAGGTACAACAGTAAGAAAAGTAGATCTAAAAGTATAATATGCAAAGTGAAAAAGAAGATGGAAAAGAAAAAGAAAAAAAACAAAAAGTATAATGCACAAAGTAAAAAAGGAAATAAAAAAAACAATAATTAACTTATATATTTATATATAATAATCACATGAGAGACATCAATGCCAGAATAAATAAACCTTGACCTTTAGAAATTCTAGAAGCCCTAATCCAAATTAGAACAATCTAGAAAGACTTTAGATAAAAAAATTAGATAAAAAAAAAAAAAAAATTAAAGCAATAATAAAAATAAAATATTTATATTATTAAAATTTTATTTTAATATTTATAAAAATTTTTTAAACAAATTTGTCTAGAAAAGCTTATAGATTAAGAGATAGTATATTATTCTATTTTATTTATCTGTTTTATTATCTTTATTAATTTTTTATCATCCTTTTAAACTCATATATACTCTAATAGTTTCTGGATATAAATTACTTCGTTTATTAGTAATTAAATTTTTGCTACTAGAAAACACTCTTTCTACTAGAGTACTTGTAGCTAAATAAAAAAATTATAATAATAATTTAATATATATTTTTAAATATATTAATATATTTATAAAATATAAAAATTTATACCTTGAATTGCTAAAAAACTCTTGCTGTTTTAGCCAAATATAGAAAATTAGCTTCATAATTCTATAAATTTAAAATTAATATTTTTAATAATAATATAGTAATAATAATATATTAAATAATAATACTTACTTTCCACCATTATAAAATATCTATTATTAGTATCAGCAGTAGATTCTCTTAAATAATTAGCTAATTCATCCAAAGAATCAACTTTTTTGCATTTTTTAAAAATATTGGCTAATATTTTATTTTTTGCTAAACTTTATTTATATTTTGAAAAGGTTGAAGTTGATATTTAGATTTTTACAAATTTTTTATTTGGGTTTTGTATATTTGAATATATTCTTCAAAATCATTTTTTTGATAATAAGCTAATTTAAGTCTAGGATCCAAAACTAATTAATTAAAATATAAATTAATATTAAATATAAAATATAAATTAATTTAAATATAAATTATAAAATATACTTGTTCTAATAATATAAGCTAATTTTTCTGTTGATGAATAATATTTAAGTTTATCTATACCAAATTGGTCTATATTTTTAATAGTTAAAATTGTACTTTTTTCTTCAATAAATTTTTCTAATATATTAAGTAAAGTATTATAAGCTAGAACTATTAAGCCAATTGTTGAATAAGTACTTCTACTAATATATTTAGTTGCATCTTCAAAATACTAAAATTTAAATATAATATTTTTTTTTTGGTATTAAGGTGACCTCTTTGGCTATGAAGACTCTTTATTAGTAATCATTTTGCTATTACAATTACAATGAAGATATAACTAGCCACATGTGTATCTTTTGAGTGCCTATTTAAGTAGTCTGCCTACAGGTTCTACATTAGATGCCATACCTATAACCCAACTAGAGAGTTACTCATTTAAACCTTCTAATCTTAACTATTTTTAGCATATCATACTAACCCAGGAACTACTATCTGGCCCATTCCACTAGATTGCGTACCCTGCCTTAGAACTTCTGTGACTTATCCTGGGTTTGTACTGACTAATTATCAGCTTGCATTCCTCCATTAAGCAGATGTATGGCTATCCTCGAGGTAAACCTACTGGAGTCTTCCATATCCCGTATCTGGCTGACCCAGTCATTGCAGTTGCCAAGGCTCCCACTCGCAGTTTGGTATAATCCAATTAAACTGCTATGCCCTTGTAAGATTTACTTCAACTCCAGTACTCATATTTGGGTCTTCCTTTTTCTGTAATTACCTTATTGGTCCCTCCCTTACTCCCAACCTGTAACCCAGAAGATTTGACCCTGGCTAGGCTCTAGATGTCTTATGCCCCATCTCATTATAGTGCATGATTTTATAGCACATGTTCTTTTTCTCCAATTGGGTCTGGCTAGTCTCTAGAGATCACCCAGCCCTTGTCATTAGATAGAACCTAACTTCCAAATCCTAGTCACAATAGATGGCCACCTCAGTTTTCCATGCTGGCTAACTAGGTTGGTGTGCTACCCTTCTCTCCAATTGGTAGTCAGATTGGTGGATCCCCCACTTAAGAATCTTGTTGTCATTCAGTTCTCCAATCTCAGCTATTACTTCTAAATTTAGCCTTCCTGTAGCACTGTTGAAAGTATTGCTACCTCCTTACTCGGGTCTTCCCAAACGGGTTTTAATCATCCCAGTTTCTTGGCATTTTTGTGCTGAAGCTTCCATAATAAGATGGTACAACCAAGATTACAAATTGTAGATCCAACTGATCAATAGATAATCATTATCTAATGTAGATTTATTTTTCAAAAAATGTCATCTATAGGATTCGAACTCTAGACCTGCTGCTTGGTGAGGTGACGACTAGACCACTTCACTAAGCCGCCACATCCTAATTTAAATATAATATATATATAATAAAATTTAATTAATATATTTAAATTTTTCAAAATTACAGTATTATAATTATTATAATATATAAATACTTTCATTAAATTTTTAAATTCTTCAAACAAATCCCAATTATCTTTATTTAATTCATATTTTTTTATTTCTTTTTCAATAGTTGTTATAATATTAATTGGCTAAAAAATATTTAAAATTTTTAATAATATATACAGTATTATATAGTATATATAATATAATATTATAAAATTTTACCTCTTTTAGTTTAAGTACTCTTTCTACCATATAATAAGTAGAGTTCTATCTGTTTTAATATCTACAACTAATTCAGGTTTACTTGAATTATGCTTTATAAATTTTTCTTTTTTTTGTAGTATTGATTGAGTATATATAATTATTTTATAAAGCTACAATATTTTTATTAAAAATATATTAATAAATTTTATTTAAATATTAATAATAAATAGTAATTTATTTATCTTTTCTATTGCAGTTATTGAATTAATAATATTATTTTTTTCTAATAAATCTTTATCTTCATTTGAACCTTCAGCTTTAAGTTTTTTAAAATATCCCAAGCAAAAAGATTAATAACATGCCCAAGACATCTAACTCTATAATTTTTTTTATCAAATATTATTTGTTTTTCCAAATATAATTTAGTAAAATATTTAAACATTTTGTTATTATTTGAGGCATTGTCAGTTGTAATTGCTAAAATCTATATAAAACAATAAATAAATTTTATTAATAATTAAAAAAATTAAAATAATTATTAAAAATAAAATAAACCTTATTTAAAATTTTATAATTTTCTAATATTTCAAATAAAATATTAGCTATATTTTTGTCTGAATATATGTTTTCTAATTTAACAAATTCAAAAGTAATTTGATTCATTTTTTAATTTTTGTTTATTCAATGAGCAGTGATTTCCAAAAATAAATCTTGAACTGAAAAAGTCCAAATGTCAAGAGTTAAAGAAATTTTACAAGATAAATTCTAAAAAATTTAATTAAATTAATTGTTTAATAATAATATAAATAAAATTAATAAAAAATTAAAATATACTTATAATTTATCTTTGATTTCTTCGTGTTCAATTTCAAACTTTGACATAATTCTATTTTTAATAGTATTAGCTGAAAATACTTTTGCTTCATTATTAAAATAATCTACTATATCTTTATATTCATATTCTTTAACAATTGTAAAAGGATGATTATTCATAATAATCTATCTAGCTATTTTATCAATAAATTCTTCTTGGTTATAATTCTGTAACAAAAAAAATAATAATTAAACCAAATTATTAAATAAATACAATATAATAATTTAATATTAAATATTTAAAATTTTACATTTTGATATTTTTTAACTTTCAATTCTGTAAGATCAATTTGATGAATATTTCTAATATATTTTCTTAAAGTACTAGTTGAATAATCATTTGGTTTTTTATATTTTTTTCTAAATTTAAAAAATATATTTTTAAATTTTATTTATAAAAATAATTTAAATTTTAAATATATACTGTAATATAAAACTTACAAACAAAGCTTGCATTTAAATTGTTTTGTTTTTTTATTATATCTATAGTATTTATAAACAGTTAGAAGTGGTCTTTTTGTTTTTTTAGAACTTGGTTGATCATCTATATCATCAATATTATTTATATCTATAAAATTAATTTTTATATCTTGAGATTTGGCAATAGCATCAATTTTCATATTTTGAGAGATATTAGATTCATCAATAGAATTATCTTCATAAATAGCATCTTTATAATTATTATCTTCAAAAGTATTATTTTCAAAAGTATCATTTTCAAAACTAATATTTTCTATATTAATTGAAGATTGTGACATATTTAATTTTAGAAAGATTAAAATTTATTAAAATTGATATATTTATTAAAATGAATTTGTAAAAAATTAAATTTTAAAAATTACAATATTTCTAAAAAAATTTATATATATATATTTAAAGAGAATATTTTTTGGCACTATAGTGCTATAGCACTAGGATAAGCATAGAAAAAACTCGTATCCAATGGATTCCGAAATCATGGTTACACGAGGTTATTTATATGGGCAATTGAAAAATTGATATACGATAGCAGTCTAAAAACCAGAATTTTTACAATTTGTTTAACCATAATAAGTTTCGATAAATGTACTTCAATCAATTAATAAAATTTCTTCGCTAAGTGTGCTTTTAACAGAAAATCTTTTTCAATCATTTTCAATCGCTTTCACCAGAAGGTTTTTATAAGAGCGAAAGTAGACACTTATAAATTATAGGTTTTGTTTATTTTAATATTAGTAGTTTATTTAATATCTAATGAAAATAATCCTATTGAACCATAAGTGTAATACTATGTAATATATACTAGTTATGGTATATTCATTACAGCTGTGTACTCTCTCGTTCCAGGACCTAACCAACTAACTACTATTGTATGTATTTATTAGCAGACTTTTTTTTTTCAAGAACAGTATTTTTTGCTCTATAGAAATTGATGCGTCTTTTCTGTATTAGTAACTGATTACTAACACTTTACTTTTCTTTGTTTAGGTTTTATCTCAATTTCTTTAGCGGCTATGATTCTTTTATCTTCTATGACAGTTGGGCTCATGAAGTTACTAGGGCATCTATTACTTGTTTTTCTGGGAGTATAATTTTTCTTT